CAGAAACACCTGCAGCTGTAATGCTCATCTCCGAGCTGTTGCTTCCTTCCCGTGCTGCTCCGGGAAGTTCGCTATTCTCTTAAAGCCAGTTCCATTGTTGGGTGGCACCAGGATTTGAACGTTCTTCCTTATATGGAACTGACGTCAGCATCATTGTTACTTCCAATCATTGTGTGTAATTCCTCCCACTGGAGCTACGTAGACTAAATCTAATGTTTCCCACATGAGACCATTCATGTATTTGAAGGCAGCACTCACATTCCCCCTGTCCCTACCCCATCTCATGTGTTCTCGTTTCAAGGCTAAGGATGCCTGAACTTTGAATAGTTTTTCCTCTGGTATGATTTCCAGGCAATTCCCACTCCTGGTTAGTTGCTTTCCTAGGAATTTCCATTTTGAAAACATTAACAATGCATCTGGCCACAGGTAGCAAGTGATCAGAGTGGAGCCCGTGGGTGTGCCTATCATTAATCCTTAACCCTTTGGGGAGGGTCAGGGTCCTGGGAGAAGGGACGAAATGACATGAGGCTTAAGCAGCAGCTATTTACCAATTGTTACTATAGCATGTCAGTATTTTGGCAGTCAATCTGGCCATCCTGGTGCACACTTGCCGAATATCAGCCTCATCAACTTCCCTCTTAAAACTCCATTTTGGACCATGACGCAGTAGAGGTGGTTTGAGGCACAGAGTTGAGAGTGGGACTGTGTCAGCTTGCAGACATCTGCACCACCTAGTAGGCTGTGTGTCTGGGGGTAAAACAAATCTAGGAAGTATTTTCAACCGAGGAGCCATGAAACCATTTTTATTGTACCTACTCATTGCAATTTTGCGTTTGACTTCTGAACCTGAATGCAGGTTCGTTTATCATGAGATTTACAGTTTATTTTTTCCTGCCGTTTTGGATGGTTGGTTGGGTCAGGCAGCATGTGGTCCTGTCTCATGACTTTGTCCTATCTGGAGCTGATGGCTTTTGATACCGTTATGGATAATTAGGTTGCAGGAGGTAAGGCTGAAGAGATAATCCAGCCACACACCGCTAGAGACCTCTGTGTAGCAAGCGTTCAGTCCATTCATTCTGACTGGTTGTACTCAGAAATCACTGGGAGAATTTTTAAAAAATAGAGATACCAGACTTTACCCCAGACCTCTTGAAGTATCTTCTCCAGGGTATCAATTTTTACAAAGCTTCCCAGCTATTTGTGATACATGGTCAGGTTTAGGGACCTGCCACTTTAATGTATGCTCTCTAGGTATTATTTTCAAACTTTATGAATGCACTTACTGGATGGGTATTTGGTCCTTTTCACTAAATTTTGTTAAACCTAATACCTTTAAAAATCATCATTATGCACTACTTCAAAAATAATATTACTTATTAATATCTTTTCTAACTTGGAGCCTTCACTTTCCCGTGAGAAAAATATTTCTCATGATAAAACGGAAGCAGTTAGGTGACTTGTTCATTTCAACATGTTCTAGAATTTTCCCCCTTCTTCAAGTTCTCTGTTCAACCAATTTATTTTATTTTGGGATATTCTGAGTCCCCAGCTTCCTTCTTTGAAAAATTCACCAATATAATCCCCCCAAAGTTGCCTTCATCATGCATTGTCTTTCACTGCTCTAACTGAATGGAGTGATTTTGTTTATCTCATGTAGTTAGCAGACACTTAGAGCTTATCGTATGACACTCTTCTATTTGCACATATTAATTTATTTAATTTTTATAACAACTTATGAGGTGATATTATTGCCTTTATTTCTCAGGAAACTAAAGCAAAAGGGGTGAAGTAATTTGCTGAAGGTCGTACATCTGGAGAAAATGGATCTGGTTCCAGATTTCATGCCCTTAGCAGATATAAAAACGATAGTAATAAATCTAATGTGGTTTTTAATATGTTGCTGTTTTTGGTGGTGCTAGTGGGGAGTTTGATAGAAGTGGAATAGATGTCACATAAATGAGCCTAAACCAGAAGTGGCAGTGGTTACCATCTGGACCGTTCCTTTTTCATTTACATAAATTTATAGGTTCTAGGCATTGAATTCCACAGTAGAAAATTCTCTATTTTCATAAATGCCCTGGCTCTATGTTTAAAATGTGTTTTGGAATGAATAAGGGGGAATGCAAATATATGAATTTTATTCTTTATGTCTCCAATATAACGAAAAAAACAACTGACAAGGAATAATGTGGGCTTTCAGAAGGTAGCCTCTAACCTTGCCCCTAATTATATCTGTTTTCTAGCAGACTTCAGTTCACTTCTTTATGTTCCTATGACTTGGCCTTTCATTCATTCTTCTGTTCACCCAACAAATATTTTTTGAGAACTAGTCATATGCCAGGCCCCAGGGGGGATAGTGACTGGAAAAATCTGGGTTCCTGCCCTCATGGAGCTTAGATTCTAGGTGAAGAAAAGACATAATCAAACAATCAAAATGTCATGCATAACTCTACTGTGTATAATTTGTTCCATCCTAGCAATTTTCACAGTGAATTATAAACATTGAGTTAATAGCCTGTCCCTGTTCTAATTCTAATAGGTTTGAGGGAAAATCCTAGGTTTCTTCTCTGTGCTCCCAGTGTTTTCTAATTCTGACATCCACTTAGTGCTTAATTGTGTGTTAAATCAATGTGTGGATTCACATTTTTCTAAATATGAATCTGAAGTGACTGGCCTATAGTGATTCCAATTTTGTCTTTATATTTCAGAATGTGGAAAGATACTGTTATTTTCAGGAGCAATTCAGGAGCATTTTAGGGGCTTAGTTAATGAATGAGATGATTTGTCTGATGTCTTTGGTAAACCACAATTAGAAATTTCACCATTTACTTAACATGAAGAATATGGAAGATAGATGAAATTTCTTTTTTGTTTTTTAAAGATTTATTTATTTCAGAGAGAGAGAGAGAGCACAAGTGGGAGGGACAGAGGGAAAGAGAGGATCTCAAGCTGACTCCATGCTGAGCATGGAGCCCAACATGGGGCTCGACCTCACAACCCTGAGATCATGACCTGAACCAAAACCAAGAGTTGGATGCTTAAACCACTGAGCCACCGAGGCACCCCCAGAAGATAGATGAAATTTCTTAATAATCAGAGAGTCACTGAAGTTTTTGAGCTCATAGAGATATTAAAGATCACCTGACTTAACCTCCACGTATTGTCAAAGAGGAACTTGAGGACCAGAGGGGCTAGTTAACTGAGGCCACATAGCCATTCACAGAGCCACAACTGGAAACTGGGCTCTGCACAGTCCTTTTTAAAACAAAACAAAATGAAAAACTGTAGTGCTTTGTTTTTCATTTTAAAAAAGAAGAGTATGTGAGATTATTTTCCCATCCCAGTTTACTGAAATTTTAGAATTTTATTTATCTATTGATTAATTGACTGAAATGGCCCCATATTCTTATTTAATGACAAAGCAGATCTTGCTAGAACACAAATTATTCATGAAGATTATAATTATCTTGTCCATTTTAGTCTTCCTTCTTGAAACGCTAGTCCAGAAGCTTGTAGAGTAAGTTATGGAGATTATGGTCAATAGGGAGGTTGCTGGATTCAAACGCAGCCTGCACAGGGAGATTAAATAGGCAGGTTTAGATCTGCTTAAAGGAACAGCAAAACAGCCAACTGACCGAATTTCCCTAGAAAATACATTGAGTGGCACTGTATATATGCAAATTCTAAAATACATTCTAGTCAATGGAAAAGTGAAACTAAACCATTCTCTGTTTTATTTTCTCTAATCTGTATAGTTTCTATCTTTTCTGGAAATCCAGATGGGATTGATTCTTAGAACCCTGCGTTAAGTGATTTCTATACTTTAAATTATATGTAGGATGGTGAAATTACTGAGTCCTGGGTTTCTTTTTTTCCAGTTTCCATCCTTTCCAAATTCATTGATTCATTGATTGATTGATTCATTCTTTATCCAAGAGTATTTTGAGTGTATGTGTGCCTCTGTATTATGCCTGATTAGAATACAAATGTGAGAATTAACATTGACAAGACTTACAGTTTGTTTGGCTCAGCAGCACCAAGAAATGTCAAGGTGTAGCTCTATCATTGTTAGACTCTCTGATGTCATCCAAAAGCCTCTGAAACACACAACTTTTCTTGAAAACTTAATACAGAAATATCATCTAGTGACTTATATAAACATTTTGGAAACAATTCTATTTTCATTTTATATAGTTTTTAAAGATTTATTTGAGAGAGAGAGAGAGAGAACGGGGGGAAGGGGCAGACAGAGGGAGAGGGAGAGAGAAAATCTCCAGCAGATGCCCCACTGAGCATGGACCCTGAGATCATGACCTGAGCTGAAACTAAGAGTTGGATGCTTAACCAACTGAGCCATCCAGGTGCCCCTGTATTTCATTTTATATTGTTTGAGATAATGTTTATAAATCTTCCAAAGACTACTATGTTCTTAATATATGTCTTTCAAGTTTCATACTTTAATTCTGGTTTTTGGATATTAGGTGATGAGATGTATATTCATCCAATTCAGGGTTTTATAAACTAGAACAGTGGTTCTCAAATGTGATCTGAGGATCCTGGGCATGTGCAGGATGGTGGTTGATAGTTCAGAATTATCACAAGGGAGTTGCAATTTTGTGTGTGCCCACACATTTGTCTCTGGTAGGATAAATATATAATGTCACACATAAATACACACGTACCAAAAATATGTAGATAGTGCTGAGATGAATAAAGTGCAAATTAATTAAAAAATGATTCAATTTGTGAAAACTTTATGTCATAATGTATTTTCCCAGTCAATAATTATTAAGTGTTTAAATACTATCACATGTGTTCTCAAACCATTTTGATATTAAATAAGGTTTTCATACTCAGAAAGACTAGAAGCCACTAACATAAAATATGTCCCTTAATGAGCGTTGTTTCTTCTTGGTGAAAAGTTCAAATCTCCTGCCCTTTGCATCAGCACTTTGGTTTCTGTCTTCTGCACTTTTTCTAATACTGTTATGTCTTTCCTTAGGCGAGGTCATAGAAGTTTCACACAAATTTCTTGTCATACAGAGGTGAGATAATTATTGTTTTGTTTATGCCACATTTTCTGATTATACTAAATATTTTCTGGGTTCTCCTTGCTGCAGCTGCTCACTGTTCCTGTATTTTAAGAAAGTCAAGTCTTGATTCCTTCCAGGGATTGACTTTGTGGTTTGAGGCTTGGGGATGATTTCGTGTGATGTTACCTAGACTGGCTGTAGAGTTCTCAGCCTTCTACTTCTGTGCTGGATTCCCCTTGCCTCCCCCGCCCAGGAATATCAAACTGTCATCCACATCCTCTCATCCCTTTTCTCTTTTTTTTCCAAATCATCCTCTCCTTATATTGACTCTTTCTCCTATGAACATCCTTCAGCTCCCCCATCATAGAAAATAAACCTTCTCTGTAGCCTGATATCAGACCCCACTGCTGCTCTTTTCACTGTCCCGCCTGCACTTCTTGAGGTAGTGTTCCTCTTCCTCAACACTTGCTTCCCTCCTGTTCATTCCTTAGCTTGTGACCATCTGTGTGGCTTCTGCCTTCACCTTTTCCCGGAAACTGTGCCAGCTTAGGTCAAAATCGAATCCCCCTATTTCAAAACCTAGCAGGCACAGTTCAGTTCTTACTTCTTTGCCCCCTGTGACCACTTACACTGCTTCGACTGGCTCATGCTCTCACATTCCTCCAAGGCTTTCCCGCATTTTATCTTATTTTACTTTGTTTTATTCTTTTTATTTTTTAGGGAGGCTCCATGCCCAGTGTGGAGCCCAATGCAGGGCTCAAACTCATGACTGTGAGATCAAGACCTAAGCTGAGATCAAGAGTCAGGGACGTAACCGATTGAGCCACCCAGGTGCCCCTTTTCCACATTTTAGAATGCTCTTGCTCTTAACTCTAGCTTGGCTGACTGCCATGAATCCTTAAAGATTTAGTGTTAGTGGCACTAATCTGGGAGGCCATACCCAGTCTTCCTCTCAGTTTCAGACTATTGGGGGCTCCCGGAGCACCATTTATTTATCTTTATAATAGCATGTACCACATTCTATTAAAACTGTTCATGTTAATTTCTCCTTTGAGTATCTGTGTCCATTATATATAAATTAGAAAATCTGGTGAACATGAAGGAGTCTCCTATAACCTCATAACCAGGGAGAACCACTGCTTATATTTTGGGTTTTATCTCTCCAAGCTACACACATATGCACATGTTGACACAGCCTGATGTTTTTTTTTTAAACATAATCATGTATCTTGAATATTGTTCCATAGTCTGCCTCATCATTTTTAAGGCTTCAGAGTATCTACTTTGGATGTATCCTAGTTTATGTAAACTGTTCTCTTTTCGGGATGCCTGGGTGGCTCAGTCGGTTAAGCGTCTGCCTTCGGCTCAGGTCTGGGATCAAGTCCTGCAACAGGCTTCCTGCTCAGCGGGGAGCCTGCTTCTCCATCTGCCTGCCCCTCGCCCTGCTTGTGCTCTCTCTCGCTCTTGCTCTCTTTCTCTCTCTGTCAAATAAATAAATAAAATCTTTAAACAAACTGTTCTCTTTTCATGGGAATGTAGATTACTCCCTCTTTCTCACTGTTGTTTAACCTCCTGCCTTGTATAGACATCTTTGTAACTCACCCCATTACAAACTAAGGATACATTTCTGCGGGGGAGGGGGAGAGTTGTTAGGGCAGAGGGTATTTACAGTTTTAGGACTTTCATATATTTAACCAAATTAATCTCTAGAGAAATGCCCCAGTTTATAGGAGTGGCTGACCCCATACTATGGCATTGCTAGCTAATTTGCTGTCCCTCCCTAGACTTTTGGTGCTCGAGTGTGATGATGCGGTCTTTCATGGAGATTCCTATGGGAGTGGCAATTATTTGTTGAAGGAACCAATCTATATTTATTTCCTGTGTTTTTCAAAGAAACATATTCATACCTGGCTTTGGGGACAAGATTTCCAAAAGTAAGTAAGTTAGGATAGATTTATAAGTGGAATACACTGCAGCCATTGCAAATGATGTAGACATGTGAAGGTTGTTGACAAATAGGCTGTTACCCCCAAAAGAATAGGCTATAAATGGTATGTAGAGTGTGAGTCCATTTTTGTAATAAAGACCTATATTCATAAATTACATTTACAATATTGAATTTGGGATGTACTGCATCTTATTATCTCTGTTAAAAGAGTGCCCACGAACCATTTTATAACCTATCAATAAGCAATTTAAATCATCCATTTTACAAGGGGTATTTGCTCATCGTCCCCCACTTTCCTTTTACTAAGAGATGACAAGAAAGAGGGGTTACAGTGCAGTGCAGCATCACGGAACATGTTCATTCCACTTTCCTGTGAAACTTTTCGAACCAGTGAATGGGAGCACTGATGCCCGTCTGCATCCTCTTCCAAGGAGTGTTGTGAAATTACAGAGATTACTTGGTGTTCTTGGGAGGAAAATTCATGTAGAAATCCTGGGTGTTTCTATTTTTTATTAATATCTACCTCCTGCCCTCAAGTTTTGAAATGACTCAGGACTTAATGTGGCTTAATGTGTGTAATGGGAGGCTGTTTGGGAGGAGGGACGGAATCTGAGGAAATGTCACACAATATTACTATATTCTTTAGCATCTCTCATGACATAATGATACATTTGTGTTTACTGTACTTTCCTGTCTTCCATTCTGGTAATTTTGCCTGTTGAAAAAATTTTAAAAAGTCATCCTCATACTGACTGGGCTAAGAGAGAAACTTTACAAGTTTCCATTTGTGTACCTTTGTTTACCATCCTTATGTCAACATTAAAAAATAAACTGCCTGGCAATACTTGAGGTAAAGCTATTGCTATTTTTCATTCTATCCACCATAACATATCCTTGCCTTTCCTCTGATAAGGTGCCAAAATTAGAAGGATGGAAAATTCTGCTGCAATTATTAGATAAATGACTTTCCAGAGAGAACTCATAATAATTGCTTCAGATTGCTGGCATCAAGGAATATTTCTTCTGTTAAGGAGATAAATTATAATTTTTACTTTATTTTATGCCTTTTAACTTTTTAGGAACTATCTCATCCAAGGCCTTAGAAAGATTTAGGTAATTCTAGTGTGAAATGCAGTGACAATGATTGTTATTAATTATCGAGAGCTTATAGAGTTCTAAAATTATTCAGGATGTCTCATATGTGTGACTTCATTTATTATTCTTTTTGTTATTTACTATACGTTATGTTACTTAATTATTTTATAGGGGCTCCTGGCTGGCTCAGTTGGTAGAACGTGGAACTCTTGATCTTGGGGTTATGAGTTTGACCCATGCTGGGTGTAGAGATTACTTTAAAGTAAAATCTTAAAAACTTGAAAAAAAATCATTTTAAGGATTTTCTGGCTTTCTCATATGCTCCATACCTTCTAGTCTTCTGTCCCTTACCTTGATCAATTCAAAAAATTATAACAGTAACTACAATTGTATTGTAGTTACTATTAGTTGCCAGTTGCTGTTCAAACAATCTTGTCCCTACTTCCCTATTCCTGTCTTTCAGGTGAGGAGGGTGTAAAGGTTAGTTTTGCTCCAGGTTCCACTGAAAGTAAATGTTAGAGCTGGGATTAGAACCCAGAGTGACTACAAAAAAGACAGTTTACACTCTGCCACCTGTTCTATTTGACTTATGATGAAGAAAGCAAGACCTATTCTGTGACTGATGTGAGTAATTAAAAACAGTCACCATAAGTAGCTCTAAGTGAATATTAACAATAGGAACCTAAAGTCATACAATTTATTAAGAGGGGTCCTAATTTTAAAAATTGGCTTACAATTTGGTTGCTAAAAAACGAGTAAGCCATGACCTAGAAATATCTGCTTTTATAAAAGTTTTTCTAGATCTTTGAGCAAACAGAGTTTCAAGTTCAATTCACTCAACATTCAGGGAGCACCCACTATGTACTGGGTGCCAGTATGGAAGTAAAGAATGTTAATGTAAGAAGGGGCCTTAGAAACCACATAGCCTATTCGTTGTCACTCTGGATTCCACAGAGCCTTTGGGTTCTGCCAAGGTTGATCTACAGCCATCTTTGGGTACAGGGAAGAAATGGAGAGAACCAAAGGGGAGATCAAGTAATTGAATTCTGGTTCTGTCCTGACATCTTCAACCAGAGCAGCTCCAAACTTTTACTTATTGGCCCTTTGGAATTTTCTTCCTTTTATAGATGAAGAAACTTAAGGACAGTGAGTATCCTAGGTGAACCAATGGTGGGCTAAGAAGGTGCAAAAAAGAAGATCCTTCCATTTGCCAGACCAATGAGCTGCATAATATCCCTTATGCTCTTGATACCCTTTTTAGGAGTGGGTTTCACGTTTATCATGTTCCTGAGATCCTCAGCCAAGCCAGTCATACTGCATTCAGATGGCCATGTTGTAGGCATCGACTAATGGCAAATGTGGTGACTTCAGGGCTATTAAGAAATTGCAGTCATTATGTGCAATGCACATTGTTTTGACCTTTATTGATGCTAACTCCTCTGGGTTTGTTGCCCATGATTCCAGCTGAAGTCCTGACTTTACCGTCACACAATTTCAAAGTTACATTCTTAGCTATAGACTAAGAATTATTATGTCTTCTTAACAAACACTCTGATAGAGAGAGGAGAAGATTCTGGGTTAGGGAAAACTACTCTATTAGTTCTAGCTATTTATGTTTTAACACTGTAATTCCGAGGTCTTTGGACGTAATACTTAAAGAAAAGATACATCTCATTCTAGGTGTCTAGCAATCCGACCTATATTGCTTTTATCCATTAAGATAGTCAGAGGGCATGGAAACTCAAGTATTATATATCAAATCAAAGGTAAGAACTGTTTAGCCAGGATTATGAAAATAATATTAAATTATTGGCTAGAATGACAAAAATGTGTTCTAGTTGAGCTTTAGAGCCCAAGACTCAGGATTTTTTGCCATTGGACTGGAGGACAGAGGCAAGGAGGCAGACTTGGACTTTAACATGGGGAGACCTTTGCTGAGTGGAGGAGACAAGCGAAGCAACTTAGTTCATTTAGGGGCTGGTAGGAGCAGATGACATCTGCAGCTGGAGCAGATCATCCAGCAGCTGTGGCTGGATCATCATGGTGATTGTAACCCAGACAAGAAAAACAGAATGTGGGAGGCAACCTGCCTGCAATTTCCTTATGCCAGCATTAAAACAATGTTAGGGCTTACTGATTTTTTTCATGAAGGAGAAAAATTCACCCAAAATAGATCTAGGTGTATTTTTTTTTTTTTTTTGTAGAAACAAAAACAGTGAACGTGACTTCCATTAATAAAAATCTTTATTTCCTAGACATTTAGGTAGTTTCCTTTTTTACATTTTGCTTTGAAAGACAATACTGTGACAAGAATCCTTGTTTGCTTCCTTGCTTGCTTTCTTTCTTTCTTTCTTTCAGAGTATTTATTTGACAGACAGAGAGAGAGCGAGCACAAGAAGGTGGAGCGGCAGAGGGAGAGGGAGAAGCAGGCTCCCCCGCCAAGCAGGGAGCCTGATGCATAGCTCGATCCCAGGACCCTGGGATGAGGACCTGAGCCAGAGGCAGATGCCTAACCGACTGAGCCACCCAGGTGCCTCTGTTTGCTTATTTCTTATTGGACACATTCCAATTTTTTCCTTAGGATAAAAACCTAGAATATAGATTTCTGTGGTGAAGGGTGTATATATAATTCAGGCTTTTGATAAGTAATAAAATTATCTTTTCAAAAGCTGTCTGCATTCTTGTGTGGATTTCTTACCATTTGTTGGAGAATCATGACTGGAACTCTCAGAGGCTGAAGGGATCATTTTTATGGTATTAAATGTTCTGAGCACTGTCCTTGCCAAGGATATGACCTCTTCCAAGGTCAATACTCAGCCTTTTCTTCTGCCCTGTCTACCTTGTTGAGACCCGAGGCCATCGCTAGGTGAACTACTGAGCCAAACTGGGACAAATTTTTTTTTTTCTTAAGAATTTGAACCAAGAGTAATAAAATAAAATAAAATAAAATACACATATGGAAAGAGAGAAAGAGATTTTTAAAAATTCAGATAAATTCAAACTGTTTCTCTTGTGAAAACTGAAGCCAGAGGCTGGAAATGCACCATATAGATACTGTCTTTCTGACATGTAATAATAAAAGAAGTTCTTTTAATTAAAAAAAAAAAAAAGAATTTGAACGAAGAGGCATGAAATCCAGAAACTCAGAGAATGTAGCTAGATGTACTAGATCCTGGAGCTCTGTGGTCACATAGAGTTAGGCAGAAGGGTGAACATTTAGTGAACTATATGTCCTGAAAAAAGCTGAAATAAAAAACTTTTTCTATAGAGAGGATGTAGAGAAAGAAATCGATGCTGAACATCAGAGACCACGTGGCCTGAGGGATTCAATGGTGCAGTTGAGTTCCATCAGTATATTCTGAGGTTTGTTCCATAAGACCCCCCTCTGCTTCCTGGAGTTTGATCTATTTTGATCCCCATCTAAGACACTTGACTCCAGGTAAAATGCAAAGCATTTACTTCAGAAACATAAGCCTCCAAACATAAATAGAGAGCTATTTTCTGAAATATAAATTAGAACATGTCTGACAAAAGATGATTTTTCAGAGTGGTACATTTACATAAAAAAAATTACCAGACCAGACCTGCTCTTAATTGTTTGAGTGTGTAGAATTTCATGCACCCAACTTCACCTTGATGAATCTAGTACAATAGTTCTCAAACTCGAGTGCACATCAAAATTACCTGGGGGGCTTGTTACAACTCAGATTTTTGGACCCCATCCTAAGTTTCTGATTCAGCAGTTCTAGGGGAGACCCCAAAAATGTGTATTTCTAACAAGTCCTCAGGTAATGTTTGTTGATACTTCTAGCCTTGGGGCCACACGTTGAGAACCACTGAAGCAGTAAGAATGTGGGAAAGTCCCTCAGAGAAGAAAATGATGCAATTTCTCATGTTTTTACTAGTACCTCTTAGGAAGATCTTAATATTAACTCTTTCTCTCATCCTCTTCTCCCCTCTACTTCCCTACATCCCCCAACCATCACCCCCTGGAAACCCATATTCTACCATGGATGGCACTTAACACACTGCCTGGTAACTTGTATGCCCGATGAACTGCCACATCCTTAGGGCGGAGACCAGGATATATCATCTGTGGGTCCACTGATTAGCACCATATTCTAGACATGATAGGCATGGAATACAAGTGTGTTGACTGAATGATAGAATGAATGAGAATTCGTTTTTCTTACTGATGCTTTAGGTCCTTGACAAAGTCCATCTCTGGTGGACTTGATCCCTCCGTTTCTCTCTGGTAAAATTGAGACTGTTGCTTATCTCTTTCTTTGCCTTTGTTCTTACAATGTAAATTGGCTTGTCAGGTTGGAATAAAGCAAGGTAGGGGAGAGCATGTGTGTGTATGCACATGCACGTGTGCTCTGTTTTCCTTTTTTTTTTAAGTAAGCTGTAGGCCCAACATGAGCTTGGACTCACAACCTGAGGCCAAAGATCACATGCTCCACTAAATGAGCCAGTGAGGTGCCCCTGTTTTCCTTTTATTTCCTTTTTGCTGTTCATGTGCTACAATAGCTGTGTGAATTGGTGGAGTTGGGTATTTCCACCACACCATGTACCTCCTTGAAGAATGTCCCATTCATAGAGAGTTTAATTTTACCTTTTGTGGCTCACAACTCTTGGCTTTGCTTGAGTAGCAATGCATAACCCACAAAACTAGATTGTCATTAATTCGCATCGTCATTCATTCACATAATTTCTTGCGAGTCTAGGCATTCTGAGATAGCACCAAAAAGTATTGGACGGGGAATTAGCAATCCTGGAATCTAGTCTTAGCTTAAGCTTTAATAAGTCGCTTGCCCTTAGCCAAGTCTCCTAATTTGATTGTTCAAAAATCTAAATATTCTTTCCAAATCTTACCACTCTCAGTATCTGTGAAGTTGAGAGGAATATGTTCTCAAAAGCGTGACATGCTCTAGGCATATATTTATTTTCATACTCATACTTTCATATTTTTGGTTCATATGTCCTTTTCAGTGGTAAAGAAATCATTTGATTAAATAATAAATAAAGGCATTCCAAAGGGCTGTGTTGCAGCCATCTGTCCTGTGTCTTTGGATTCTCTAGAAGTGAATGAAAAAGAGAATTTAAAGAAGAGGAGCCAATTAGAAGAGATACTTTGTATTTATTCCCATGAAGAAGGAAACTAGAGTTCTTGCCCAGGTCTGAGTATTTGAGTATTTAATTTTTCAGTGAGCAGGAACCAGACCCATCAACATATCCTCTTTGAATATTTATGGTTTGTTCTATATCTTGTCCTTGTGGAATTTCCTGAGCGAAGAGATTGTATGTTTGACCCTTGAAGAAGATAATGTGATCTCAGAAATATGCTATTTGGCATCCTAAGAAAGTCCAGATTTAAAGTATCAGCCTGGTCACTTGCTAACTTCTTCCAAATGTCCAGCTGTTATCATTACAATATGTTCATGTCTTGGTCTTGAGAAGTATAGTTTATAACAATGTCACAATGGCAGAATAGTTGGTAAGGATGTTTTTTCTGCATATTTGACTTGTTAAAGAAAAACAGTTTTGGGGAAGTGATGGTGAGGGTGGAGAAACATATTTTCATGGTGATGAAGCCACAGCAAATTTCCAGAGGAAGACAAGCTGCCACTCTCTTGACGTTTTGAGATTCCCCAGGAAGTTTAATTCTCCATCAGTTTGCTACTTCATAGGATGAGATCTGATTTTAAAAACTAGGCTGGTATATTGTAAGTACTTTCTTTCATAGGAACTGCGTTGAAGGTGATCCTCAAACTACTTGGTGCACAGTGTGAACTAAGATATTAATTTACTTTCATTTCCAGTTTTCTGATGGTCTTTACCTAAAAAAAAAAAAAGACAAAAACAAAAAACCCCAACTCAACTGGATTGAATTTTGGCTGAGTTGTGCCTCCTTTGAATAATATTTTCATTTGGTACTTACTGGGATACTCAGAAAACCTTAAAATCTTTAAAGGGTCGTGTTTCCTCTATGGAAGCAGAAAGGTACTTTTGACTTCCTGGGTCCCTTTAAAAAATCTTTATCCAAGTAAACTATATGCACATCAGGAAAATACACATAGCATCAGTGTAAAAATCATTAAATTTTCAGATACTGAACACAACTGTGTAACCAGCACTTAGATCAAGAAACGAAACACTGTTAGCACCATATAAACCCCCTTGTGCTCTCTTCTAGTTCCTAGCTCCTCTCCCCACCAACGGTAATGATGATGTTGACTTTTTTTTTTTTAAGATTTATTAATTTATTTTAGAGAAAGAGACTGACAGAGAGAGCATGAGCGGGAGGGGCAGAGGGAGAGTGAGAGAATCTCAGTCAGACTCTGTGCTGAGCACAGAGCCACTGACATGGGGCTCAGTCTCAAGACCATGGGATCACGACTTGAGCTGAAACCAAGAGTCCGATGCTTAACCGACTGGGCCACCCAGGCGCCGCTATGGTGTTGACTTCTAACAGCATAGACTACTTTTGCCTGTTTTTATACTTTCGATCATGTTTTGGTCATATTAAAGACATTATTTGCTATGTACTCTTTTGGATCTGACTTCTTTTATTCAACATTATGTAAATAAGAGTCATTGTGTTATATATAGGTGCTAATCATTCATTCTCATTTCTGAATGATGTGTAAGTAGGCAGTATTTATCAATTTTACTCTTGATGGAATTTGGATATTTCTGTATTTTTGGCCTTAATGAATAGATTGGCTCTGAACATGTGAGGACATGTCTTTGGTGGATAGATGTATGTATTTGAGCCGTATGTATACTTAGTGGAATTGCTAGGTCATAAAATTTGCATAAGTTTAGCTTTACTAGATACTGCCAGTTTTCCAAAGTCGTACCATTTTACTGTTTCATCCTTGGTTTCTTTTGACTGGTATTCCCGAAGGTGCAACCGAGAAAAGGTAGTTGAACTAATGGCTCTGATATTAAAACTGAATTGTGGTAAAAGGCAGACCCCTGCTGAATATACCTTTCCTCCTCAAGGGTCTGATCTTTCCCTAACTCTTATTTAATGAAATCATAAATTCCTGTCCCTCTCTTGTTCAACTGAAGGTAACACTTAAATGATGTTGTTTCGAGGTTCACTTATGAGATATGAGGTGGTTTAAAATCATTTTTAAACTGTCTATACTAAAGAAAAATGGAAAAATGTGCATCTTTAAAGATTACCCCTCTCTGACTAGTGTCCAAAAAATGTTGAATGGAACCGATTTCTTAAAAAATTTTTGATGGTCTTTATTCAATTTGCTTCTAGCTTCTGCTAAACAGACAAAGCAAAATGCAGAAATATTGGAACAGTCCTTATTTAAAGAAAAAAATGATTTTCAGCAAGGGAAACAACATAACACCTATGAAAACATACTGCCATAACTGTC